GTACAATCTAATATAGTCTATCTCATTCTTATGATAAACGTATATTTAATAAGAATAATCTCTCATCATCTGTTTTTTGTCTTCTATCCAATCGAATAAAGAAATCAAAAAGAAAAAAAAGCAGACCAGTCAAAATACAACGTAAATAAGATCAGAAAAACAGATACAAAACAAAAAAAAGAAATTCTATGGTATATAAAGTGCGTGAGAATGAGTCGTAAATCTTCAACAATTCGCTACACATGACTTCACATATAGAAAGCGGGTATATGAAAGATGCATACAGAACAAGAGAGCTGAGGGTTTGGAAACAACACGAACTCTGTCAACCTTACTACACCCACACTTATCTTCACTCATCCAGATTCTCACATCGCACTATTAACCAATGCCCTCGAAACTGTCGTACGCATCTTTCGCAATCCCACAAAAAGTACTACAGCAGAAAAGATAATAAATGAAATTTTAAAGAAAGAATAAAAAAACATGAATAAATACTGCGATATCGTCATATCTCATTTGCTTGATTTTATTTTATACACATTTTTCTTTTCATATATTTGTTGCAGTAGAAACTAAAATTTTAATCTCTACTATAGAAGAATTTTAAATTCTACTAGAAACTTATATTATACAAATATTTTAATTTCTACTGTAGTAGAAACAAAAGTAGTCGTTTATAATGATGATGATCTGCATCGTGTCACAAACTCTTTCCATTGTCAAACTGTAAATTTCGTAGAGATCTAAATACATAGAATTACTGAAGTAACTTTTCAGCTACAGGCTGAGTTCCTTTTGTCTTAAGTGGATACACCCATAGAAATTTTGTGAAGTGATCTTTTGCATGAAGGATTCACTAGTATTCACCATCGGGCATGCTTCTCATATCAATTAAATCTATTCGTAGACGTATTAAATAATTAATTGAAGCAATAGATTTATCCGTGAAATAAAGTTATCATGGAGCATGTAGGATGTGAGAAAAAAAAAGAATAGGTCATACTAGCTATTGGCATTGGAAATCCTCTGCGGTTTCAACATACATCACATTGTGAAAGAAAAATAACTACCCCATATCGTAAATATTCGACAGTTTTTAGCGGTAAACCGCAGTAAATTGCAGTAGCGGAAGCCGGTAACCGGATCGGTAAAACCATGATAAATCGGTGGTTTTTTTCGAGCATTTTTATGGCATGGGAAGGTACAAGAGAAATAACATTTCAATTACCAAAATAGATGATTTGGAGCAATTAAATGGTAATGATCATCGACGAACCGATTAACCGATTCATTTTAGCAGTAAACCGCGGTATTCATCAAAACCGGCGGTTTACTGCGGTAAATTATAGCAATGGAAGTCGGTAACCAGACCGGTAAAATTGCGGTTAACCACCGGTTTTCTTCCGGATTTTATCACATGGGACCACATCAAATGGAATCTAACAATATTACTGTTTCACCTTAAGTTTAAAGAAAATTATGACTGCTACTCTGGATTCGAGTACAAAATACTATCTCTTTCCACGTTTTGTCACAACCATGATGTTCTACTCTTTCATGACATTCTTTAATTGTCGTGTATAATTGTTCATATGTGATCATCAGTTTATTTGATTTAATACCATAAACAACTTGTAATTCACTAATGCTAATGAATTTAAAATACTTATGAATCCAAAATTTAAATTGAACTTCACTTCAACCTTCTTTTAATACCTATATGATATCATTATAAACATCTTGTGTGATAACAAATTTTAAATGAAATTTCTCGTTTAAAGATTCAATATGCTTATCAAGTTTGGAATAAAATAGGTTCATTTCGTATCATATTATATTATATTATCTCTTTTTTCTTTGATAGTATTACGAAAAGTATAGGTTGAACATACAAACTTTTTTTTTCGTTTCTTTTCTTTCGAGATATCATTATCAATATAAACGGATATTTAAATTTTTACTAGTGCAATTTAAAATCACATGTTATTTAAATTTTTCCTAATAGAAAATGAGACTTCAATTTCTCCGAGTAGAATTTTAATTTTTACTGCGACATATTGAATGAATGCTCTGTTGAAATAAATATTTTGTCAACGGATAGAAAATGATAACAAAGAAAGACTCTTATCTTCGGAAGTGTCTCTAATAATAAAAAAAAATTGCTAAAAACACTGTCTGAAATTCGTACGATAGAGTCATGACGCTGGTTCTATGCAAGGAAATGTTTTATATTGACATTTATGATATCATAAATCCCCTATATTTGTAATCGGGAAAATGTGTAAGTTTTAGCATGCTTTGAATTCATTGCTGTCGTTAATATGTAAGATATATGTGTACTTGATAAAATCAGTGAATGTTTACGTCATTTTGAATGAGACTCAAGATGTAGAAAGTGACAGTGTTCTTGATGAGAAGATAATGAATCATACCAATCACATAGAATGTTAACTCGGTTGTTTTATATGAGGCTACTAAAGTAGTATATAATCAACTTTTTTAACCTTAGTGATTTCTAAGGGCAATATCTTCATCATAAATGAAAGTATAACAGCGGCTTTGTATAACATTATTGAAAATTTATTTTAGAATAAAAACACAATTATTCGACGTTTCGATGATCCATGGCATTATTTTCAAGATTTATTAAGATGTTAAGAAATTATACATTGAACAAAGAGAAGAACGAAAAGAAAAAAGAAGAGAAAGGGACGAAAAAAACGAAGATACAATATCAAACGACTTTAAGCTTCATTAATGAGCAGGATTAGGTAACAAAACTCTCGGTAGACCATCAGGAAAAACAAGTAATGACACCGAATGTGTTGTTTTGTTGAGTTCTGGTTCATAAACCTGGATCAATAATGATTCTTTAATAAACAAACGATAATAATGGCTGTCTTGCCATATTATCTGAAAATTACTCCAGTCCATATGATGACCTGTTTCTTTTTCATGTTGAGTAATTGACGACTTGACAGTCTTGTTATCGTTGTTGTTGTTGCTGCTGTTTTATTTTTTATCCGTGATGATCTTCTTAATTCTGGAATGTTGTTGTTATTATTAAGATCATCACTTACATGGTTACAGTGCTGTTGTTGATAAGTTGTTTTAGATGTACCATGTTCATATAATCTTCGTATACATTGACATTTCGTCTTGCCAATATACGAATGTTCACAGTCATTGTATTTAATATAGTATACTACATCAGACTGCGTATGTTTAACAATTGGACCATCGGTTTGGAAGAATGCTCGTGTTGATGACGGTGGTTTGTTGAAGAATTAGATGTCGAGATCAGGTCATAGTTTATTAGACAGGTATATAACTTTCTTCTTTAATTCTAATGTTGAAGATCTAATAAACAGTATCTCGACATACATTTTCTTCCTACCACATCTAATTATTGGTTCATTTAATTTTCCATTAATCTTATTTTGATGTTAACTTAGTTTAATGCCAATAATAGTATCAATAAAAGATAATGAATAAACATTTTTTAAACCAATTCTCCTGATATCATTAAATTCAGGGTGTGGGATGTGAGTGTGGCTATCACTTTCAAAATGCTCACACCCGTGTCTCACCTTCTAATCATCCTCATTTGGCTACATCTTATGAACATATTGGAATGGTATCGTATAAGATTGGAGAGCATTCAAAAACTGTTTTAGATTGTGAACGTGCTCTTAAAATAGTAGAAAATTCCCTACGCACAAATCATCGAGGTATTCACTTATATAGAAATAATCTCGAATATGTAAAAAAAAGAAAATGTAATTTTCTTTTTATTTTGTTCAGAGAAATAAGTGTGATGAAGAGAAAGGAGTATTCTTTTGTTTTTGAAGAGTTAGGGGCGCGTAGGTATAGACAAACTCTGTCTTATTAAGAACACAATAGAACCATGTCTATCGATAGGAGAATCAATATATGTCCAAACGATGAACACGTATTACAAATAACAGATCTTCGGTATAGTTTGTATTTCAATAAGGAGAGTTTATCTGTGTTACATATAGAGCCATCTAATAGGCTGAAAGAAAAGAGAAAAGAAAATTCTTTGATTCATGCAGTTAAGTATTCTTTCTGTTCCAATGTAACGATAATTCATTGCATGACGAAAAGAACAAAGAAGAGAATGTTCATTGAACCTATATCCACACCTTAACTAAATAAAAATAAATCTTTCATAAACTTCATTTTTGTTTTCGAGAAACAGACTATTCTATAATTAGTTTGACAAAGACTATTACCTTTTCATCTTTAAAAATATAATTTCGTACAACTATTTCCATATTAAGATTACATGCAATTCTTGGTATTCAATACTCAAGGCCAGCAGATTTAAATAAAATTTTTTCATCAATGGTTTAACCAATATTAAGACACATATAACAAAGACATTTTTTTCAATTAAAATTGGTTCGTCAGCCATATCAAATATTGACATAGCAGTATTCGTTAAATTACGTGTACAAGAAAAATAGTTAGAACTAGTTAAGAACATTGGCATTTACTCAAATACATCTAATAAATGTACGTCATAAGTGATTGAATTAGTTTCAAGCAATGATTAAGTTCGTGACGCATATATGCGTCATCAGTAATCAAAGGATTAATATGACGGTCCATTTTTTTTTTATATAGAAAATCATCCAAAAAAGCAAGTTTTTGTGGGCTTCATTGTTTTTTAAAGCTTCGAGATTATTAAAACGAAGATAGTGACAAATATTAGCTGCCACTCTCCTTGCTTTGTTGCTCTCTCTCTCTCTCTCTACTTCAAATAAATGAAAACAAATAATTTCAAAGATCAAAACAATGGAAATCAGTTCTCGCTTGAAATATGAGTACATAATGAGATGAGTCATTCAAGCCGCCTATTTAATCAACAGTAGCGATAACAAAAAAACTTCAACAAACAAAACAAATACAATTTTTTGTTTCATTATCGTCTCGTAAAGTAGCTATCTGTCGGAAGAAGTATTGATTCGTCGATGAAACTAGCTAAATCTCATCTTCATCTCGAAGAAAACTCGCATCTACAAAATTCGACCATTTCTAAAGACGATGATTCTAAACGACTTCATGCTCATATTGAAGCAATTCATACGGACACATTTCAAAAGGAAGAACAACAATTGGAGAAGTCTTCACTGCCATCATTTAATCAGAAATCAGTTCATGCTGTTACTACAACTAATACACAACCTTCATCAGATGAGATTGCCAATTCTACATCATCTGAACAACATGCTCGTCGAACAGTAACATTTGATGATGACAATGCTCCTTCCCAATCGATTTCAAATCGACCTATTCGTACATCATATGTAAATTTTCGATTACCTAATCACGATTCAATTTCAAACGATCAACAAGAGGCAGAATTACCTAATAATCGACAGCCATTAGATACAGCTGTCGCTTCGGGTACAATGAGTCTTCCTACACCAGATTTAAATCATCTCGTAAGTCATGTCAAATTTATCTTCCAGTAAGAAAAATTTTATAGATATATATATATCTTTCAATGATTGCCAAACAAACATTAGATCGAAATAATTTGACATTCTGCACATTAAAATATTTTCTAATCATCAATATTCATATAATAAAATATGTTCATCAAGACTTATCGATAAAGAAGTCTTATTATCTCAATTTGTTCTAAATTATGACTATGGATGTAACAATTCCTGGACCATGGTTTCACGACGGGCATAAAACTGTGAGCTCTCAATACTACAGACAGATGCATTACTTTTGAACCGAAGCTTCAGAAATTAATTGAAATAGGTACAATCCATACATATCCAAAGACAACATATTTTCAATATTCAGAACTATAAGTTTTCATTATTGATACATACCAGTAGCGATCAACTTTGAATATTTTATCTGATGCTTTAGTTTGATTCCTTTGAAGAGTTAAAATAAGTTGTGACATTAACTGGTATTGGTCGGATTTCCTCTTAAAACTGATAAATTTTGATCAATGCTGAACCACGTTTTTTAGATTCGATGAAATCTAATGATAACTTCGGATAGAACAATCAAAATTGAGCAGAGCTGTTATAAAAAAATTTGACAGGACAATGACTTCTCAATACTAAAAAAAAAGTCATCTTTGAAACCATGGTCCAGGAATTGCCGTATCTCTAATGGTGACAAATATTTCAATCAATAATTTTACTAATGATATCTATCTATATTTATACTTAAAGCTTTCAGAAGATGAATACATTCCAGGTGGTTTTGCTAATCTCGATCATGAATTAGAAGAAGAATTCTTGAATGATTTTGCCGATGAATTCGATGATGAAACAACACGACGTAATCGATATAGTTCTTCAATTCGTCCTAGTGATCATACTGTTCAAATTACTCGATCGCCCATCGAACTCTGGCAACGTGCACGTATTCTTATTGCTATTCATCTCTATAAAGTATTTCTAACAAATCCTTTAAATATCATCAGTTTTCTTTTGAATTTGTCTGTTCTTTTTTCTTGAAATAGGTTCAAAATAAAACACTTAATCCATATGATAATACATTTCCTACATCAACAATAATCGATCCATTGAAAAGAAAAATCATTGATGATAATAGACTTTCGAATGGGATCGATGAATTTAATTATTTAGAAAAAATATTCGAACAAAAAGAAAATATAGAAGAACGAAAGATTACATTTGGTCTTTCAATAATACAACAATTTTCACTTGATTCTTCTCAACAATATCAATGTGTAGATTTTTATGATGTTGGACAAGGATATATTATTATGTGTAATGTTGTCAATTTGGATAAGCCACAAGTCAATGTAAAAGATTATTCAAATCTAGGACAACTTCAATCATATAGTATATTGATATGTAAAGAAAAAAACAAAAGAAATGAATATAAATGTTTTATTTCAGATAAATCTAACGATAAAAAATGTCATGTATCTGAACCAATTTTGAATCTAACAATAGATTCATCATTAACAAAAGCCAGTAAACTTGTTGTGTATCCAATCAATAAAAAATCATCAAATAAGCTTCAATCAATTGAATTTGATTGTCCTTTTCAATTTAATTTTATGATTTGTATACCTATTCTTCGTTTAATGCTTGGTTTTATTAATATAAAAAAACAAAAATCATTAATGATAATAATTGGTGATGCATCACGTAAAGGTGTTTTTCTATCAAAACAAGATATACCCGATTATGTTTATAGCATTCTTTATATACATGAATCAACAATGCTTTTTGTTGGTATGAAAAACTAATATTTCTAAATAAAAAAGATTTTTTTTTCTAATAACAGATGATCGAAAAGTATTTTGACAAAATTGAAATTCATTTTCTAAAACTGGTTTGTGACTTTTGTTTTTTTTTACACGAAACACATACATTATGAACTTAAAAAATTATAAAACCAAAGTATTAAAAATAATGATTGTTCTTTAGTTTTTGCTGATTTTTGTTCAGAAGTCCTTCTTTTATCGTTTGATGGTGGCAGAACCAGGTGTGGTTGGAGAGGACTCAGTCTCCTCCAGAAACCTTTGAGCTTCCTCTAGAAATGAGGCGAACCTATATTAGGGGCGACGAAAATATCTGATTTTTAACTTCAAATAGGGCTAAGCATCTCTCCTCTACAAATATTTTCTATCTCCATCACCAATCTATATCATATATTTTATCAAGAAACATGGAACAATAATCTTGTAGAAGTTGGACTTTTTAGAACATTAATAATATCAATTCTGACGGGGCTATTGATGAATGTTTGAATAAACTTTTTTCATTTATTGAACCACATTATGCTAAAGATTTATATATATTTTAGTCAAATTTCGCATGATCATATTAGACCAATAAAATAACATCAATAATTTCTTCAACACAAAATCAGATTTGTATCAATATAGATCAATTTATGAAATGTTTCAAAAGGTCTGATCTATAGAATATTATTGTCCAATATTTTTTTTTGATAAAGGATGTGACATAATATTGAGAGACAAAAACAGAGTTGCAATTAAAAAGAAGAATTTATCAAAAATCGAAACAAGTTGTCCAAACAATAAAAGAAGGACTTTCGAACAAAATTAAGAAAAATTAAAGATAAACAATTATTTTTTGATACTTTGATGATATAATTTTGTAGGTTCATAGTATTTATATTGCGTGTAAAACCACACAGACACAAATTATTATTAGAAGTTGAGAAACATACTTTTCGATCATTCATTATCATATAATTCAGGTTGCATGGGTCGTGTTTTATTATATAATACTCAACCACTTCAATTTACTTCTCAACCATTATTTGTTTCTGAACTTGCTAATTTACCATTTCAATCAATGGAACCAATAATACATATATGTCAAGTAATAACACATCGAGCTATTGGTCTTTTGTCAAATCGATATTTTATTTTATGGCAATATACACCAAATGAAAATTTATTAATAAAATTTTGTAATCCATATCGATATGATTTTACTCGTTGTCATTATAATTCAAAATTTGATTATATTATATTTGCTTTTATAGATGGTTTTATTTTAATTTATCAAATAAATCAAATGAAACAAATACGTCGTTATCATTATCATTGGAAAATGATAACTGATTTAAAAAATAGTAAAGATCAAAATTTACTTCTTTCATCATCACTTGATCATATTATTAATGTTTGGAATTTAGGTATAAAAATTCATAGATCAAAAAAAAATATAACATTCTATTTTTATTTTTTTTTAGAAACTCTTCAACATATTTATCAATATAATACAAATGAAGAAATATTTCAAATTGATATTATTCATGAAAATTTATTTTATTATCGTACTTTAAAACATATTATTCTTTTTAAATTAAATTTACACACAATATTATTTTCAATTACAAAAACAAAAGTTAAATCATTGAAATTATTTACAGATATGCAACGAATTGCACGTATTATAGCATTAGCTGAGGATAATTCAAGTATACTTATATCACCAGTTAGTGGATGTTGTTTAACTTATGTTTCAAATATAGCTAAAAAACCAATTAAACAAATATTACATGATATTAGCAGGTAATGAAATATGATCTAAAAGGAGTGTTGAAGAATATAAAGTAGAAGTTTGCACTCCTCCCCTCCGACAGATTGTGACAGACGTTGTTGTTATACGATCAAAGTTTGTATATCAATAACGTCTCATTATAATATATGAACTACTTCTTTATTGCATTTCTGGAGAGGATAGTGAAGAAATGTGTCCCAAAATAGATAAAATAAAACAATCTTCATGTGATTAGTAAAAGTAGTTACATGATGTTTTACATTTTAATCCTGTAGAGATTACACTAATAACTTTTTAAATATAACAAAAAGATTGAAGCAAATTGAAAATTTGAAAGTTTTTTTTCTGTATTTTTGATAGTTGAAAAATTATCTTTGGTTAAACGAAATAGAAAAGTTTAAACTAAATATTTTAAAAGAAATGTAAAATATAAGGAAAAAAGCTGCTATGATATGTAAGTCAATATGAAAAATACAATCTCTTATAATGAATAAAAGGTCTAAAGTTCATGATTGCAAGTCAAAGGAATTAGTCATGACTGCTCTAATACATCCATATAAAACCTTTATGCTCGAGTACTGTACAGAAGTCTCTACACCAATAATCATAAATTAATATTGATCAAGCCATTTAACAATTGTCAACCTTGTTTGATCCAATCTATAGCTTGCTCACTACTTTCAGATATATATAAATTCTAGTGCTCACTCTCTAGGTGTTCATTAGATGCGAAAAGATGAAGTATGACAGCAAACGAACTCAGAGCCAGATTATCCTTTTGCTTAGAATGTTAGCTAGTAATTCTGTTTGAAAGTGATGAGCTTTAATGAAGACTTCATATATATTCATTGACACTTTAGCAATTCATTATTTTTTATTGATTGTGTACCTCATCAGCGAAACGAATATTATCAAAAAAAAGATCATGGAAATTAATTTCATCGAAATAAAGGTCGTCGAATGTCTCTCGATGATCTATACCAATAATTTTCTTTTCGTTCGTTTTCTGATATATACCGTATACAGGGTACATTACTATAAAACATATCACTTTAAATGAAAAAGTATTGGTCCCGATCCCGATTCCATCTTGCCCATATCTACTTCTATAACCCATTAAAAAATGAATTTAAATATAAGTCAATAGTTCTGGATCTTTTCATAATGAATTTCGATCTAGCTTTTCTCTCTTCAAAGAATATTATCAAATGTATATTGTTTGAAATTACAAGCATTGTTATGTCCATGTAGTAAAATCAATAATCATAATTTCCATCTATTTATCATTATAAAAAAATGAATTTTTAAATTCTCTATATAGAACAAAAAAAAGTTCATATACTTTTTAAAAATACGCTTTTTTTTCTAGGTCGTTTTACAGTCATTGAAAGTGATAGTTCTCAATCCGACAATGAAAATTCTCGATCATCAGATATTGATCGTTTATCAATAATTAGTGATGATTCCAATTGGTTTGATTTAGCTGAAGATGTCAAAGACATATTGCGAATGAAAAAATATGAAATTCGACATCAAAACAAACAATTAAATACAATAACAACAGAAATAAATGAACAATCTTTATCTTAAAAATTCATTTAAAATGGTCTAAAAGAATGAAAATCATTTTGCTTATTATAGATTTCTGGTATTGAATGATTTGCATGTTTAACATATTGAGATCTATATAAATAATCCATTCTTGCTCTTTGTCCTTCTTCATTAGTCCATTCAATAAGAAAAACAATTTGTCTATGACGTGGTGGTATACAATCATATGTTGATAATGATTTACGTGAATTACGAATATATCTACTATCATTTAAATCCATTTCAAGATTTAAAAAATCTGTTGTTGATAAATTTTCAGCAATAAACATTGTAAAATCATATTCTTTTGTTGTTACATAATAATTACAATCTTTTCCCTAAAAGAGAAAAAAAAATTTTCATTAAAAACAAAGACAAAAAATGAAATTTTTAATTTTTGATTTAATAACAAACCTTTTGTGGTTGAATATTATTTTTTAAAACCGTAGCAATTAAACAATCAGTTAAAAGTGTTGCTGGTTCATGTGTAACTTGAGCATTTATTTGAATTTTTGAATGCATGACTAGAGTATAATCTTGAATAGATTGATTATCATCGTTCCAAAAACTAGTTGAAAATGGTATAAGAACATAAAAACCAGGTCTTAATGAACCAATCCAATGAGTAAATGCTCCACGACTTGTACATAATATAGCTTGTCTTGTTCCAACATCTTTTGATGCTCCTTGTTCAACGTTACACAATACAAATGATTGTGTATGATAATTTCTTAGTCGACGATTTGGACGATGATATAATAAACTAAGATTAACTAATGATGTTCTATAAATATTAAAAAAAAAAACAAAAACTAAAAAAAAAATCTAGAAATATATTTACTTTGATAAATGAAATTGAAATGTTGGAATTAATTGTGTAGATGATCGTGTAAAATGATTTACTTCACGTATATCATAATAATCATTTACATAAGCAGATATCGTAATTGAAGTAAAAAAACGAAGAAATTTTGGCCAAGAAATCCAAAAAGCACCTGGTGATACATTATTTCTATTAACATTATTTAATTCATTAAGAATATATGGTGTTATAAATTCATCTATATAATTTGAACGAGCATGTGGATCTCGAACTAATACAAATTGTATTGAGATATTTGATATTGAATGTGCTGTAAGTACAGAAAATGCATGATTATTCGGAATATTATTTCGAGTATATTCTTCCACACTAACATCTGAACGACCAGTTGATGCACTAATTAATAAACTAAAACAAAAAAACAAAAAAAAAAATATTTTTCTATAAAAATTTAAGAAAGAACAAAAAAAAAATAATTACTGAGATTCACAAGCCGATAAAAGCTTCGCCCAAGCAATCTCACTATCTAATATATTATTGAATGGATTCAGATCAATATGATCACATGGTGCACCAGTTAATAATTGAAGACCTTCTTCTGTTTGTCCACTTATTAAATCAGCATAGGAACCAAATAATTTTGCACATGCTTTTTCAATAATTGGTACATATAATTGACGACGATGTGCTTGTGTAAATGCAAGTTGATTATATTGTGTACATGGAAAACAATCATCAACAATAACTGTTTTCCATAAACCATTATGACAAATACGTACAAGATAAACACCTTGATCATTAATTGTTTTTGTCAATAGTATATGTTCAAGCATTTGAGGTCGTTCAGTAATTAAAGCTAATGCAGCCATAAGCCAACAATCACCAAGAGCACCTTGTTGAATATCACTTGGTTTTGGTGAGGAATAAACTGACCATTGTAAACAAAGATCTGATGCTGATAATGGAGATATTTCAGAAATTCTTAACCATTTTAATGGATGATTAATAATTGAATCAATATGACCAATAGAACGAGATATTGGAGGAAATTGATCATCAACAAAATTTGTATTGTTCTAGAAATAAAAGTAAAAATAGTAATTATTTAAAATACATTTCAAAAAAAAAATTAAATACTTGTTGACAAAATAAAACTATATTAGCAAAGAGTTTTTCTGCATTTGTTTCATCAGTATGTTGACGATCACATACAGCCAGTGACACAGATGTTATTGGTGATGTTTTTGTATTAACAAGATTTTTCTAAAAGAAAAACAAAAAGAATATTTAATTTAAGAAAAAAAAAGCAATATCAATAAATTCTTACCGAAGATGTCATTGTTTGAATATTTAAACCATTACTTTCTAACCGATATGATCTATTTGTTGGTATTTGATTTAAGCATATAGTTTTTTCTGGCTTTTTTCGATGATTAGAAATAAAATTATTAATAAAGTTGATATTATTCATACTGATTATCTACAAAAATCAATGGCAAAATAAATACTCAAAACGTCAGCTGGTTAAGTGTAAGCAATTCTCTCTTTGTTTCCTCTTACTCATTTTTTTTCATATTGTCGTATATCCTACCTACGTAACCTCTAACAGTCCGCTAGTGATGTGAGTCATCATCAGTTTGCCCTTTTTCCTTTTCTCTCTGCAGACGGAGAATAAGTAAGGACGGAGGAAGAAAAAGCATATACTATACATTGTGTTACCATATAAATTGATGACATTAGATCATGGACAACGGAACAATACACGAGAATGATCTATCATGGTTTTTTAATGATATTGTATAGTTACACTTTAACTTAAAATTAAACAAAACGTGAGTTTTGATTATTTTACTGAATATTCTTTTAATTGAATGATTTTCACGCATATGGTTTTTTTGTAATGAATTATAAATCACGTCCTTCTCGTTCTTTCTGAATCATTTTTAAGTACAAAAAAAACCTGATGGCAAACGAAATTTCGCTTCAAGTTAATTTTTTACAAATCTACGTGACACATGTACTTGAATAAAATCATTAGCCTCAAATGTCTCTATATATATCTGATCGATCAAGCACACTGAAATCAGAACAGAAAGAAAAAATGTTAATATTTACAAGTTCATACGATCAGAAGTCTTAAATCACATGTAATCAAAAAGAAAATTCTATCTGTTATATATTTCGTATTTTGATAGTATGAATGCAATCTTATCTGATTCAATTCTTTTGAATGTTGTTTTCAATGGAGTAGATGTCATCAAACACCAACGAAATAATAAAAAAAAATGAACAAAAATAAAAAAAAACAGAATCACCTACATAAAACGTCAACGTATGTAATTATATATCTTCAGCAAATAGTTTTTGTACGTAAGGAAATGTTAGGTGTACTCTTTCAGTTAATATGAAATGAGTAAACTTGAAATTTTTTGAAGGTCTTTTAAAATTCATCGAAATCTAATTCCTATGATAATACGAGGTTACAACGATCTGTTCGTTAATAATAATCGTTGAATCTTACAGAGAAGAATTTATCTCATAAATGAACGTAAATTTTAAATAATACAAGCAGAAACTAATGTTCACAATAGACGTATTGTTCAAGATATATTAGGAATGACTATGGTTTTCTCATTGCATTGTTAATGACGTATCGTTTAAAAAAGAAAAATCTTTTTTCGATAGTTTATTAAAGCGACGGGTATTTTATACTTTACTGCTTTCTCGGAACTATAGAAGCAACGGTGACAGTGGTGCTTCGCTTCATTGGTGTACCAGTCTTATGTATAGCTATTTACTAGTCTAAACATGTACACATAGACTACCAATAAACGCATGATAAAACTATGGTGGTGTTGGACTGATATCGATTTTTTCGGTTAGAGAAGCCATTTTAAGAAAATAGCGGAGTTTTTGTAAAAATAGACTAAAGGTTTTCCGAATCTATAAGAGATCTATCTTAATTCTTTAGTTTAGTTTTTTTGTTTGAGATAGACTTAGTTCTCATGGTTTAGTTTAATTTTATAAAATTCAGTTATTCTCTTGAAATCAGCTTCCTGTGAGCAAAAAAAGTCGAAATGAATTTAAAATCACCATAGTTTCATCATGCATCCATTGTCTTCGCCGTTATTCAATACTTGCATGTCTTGATCAGTGCAGTGATTTATATAAGACCGGTGCAACAGTAATCATCGTCACATTACTATTCGGAACTATCTTTATATGAACCTGCCACATGAAATATATATATATATATATATACAAAGTTTGTATTGAAAACAAAATATCTACTGATAAATGGAAGTTCATAATTTAAAGATAATATTCGAGTGTTTATCTATTCGATCAATAAATTCCGCTATTGATTTTAATGTAGAATAGAGAAGTAGAATAAAGAATTTCTCCATTTAAGTCAGAGATAATATAACTTATGAAAATTACTTATTCAAATTATGATTTACTTGAAGTTCAGTCAAAATATCTTAAATACTATTGAAAAAATAAGGTCAAAGGATTGGATAAATGTAATAAATGAAGATTAACAAATGTTTAATTATAAAAATTACCGAATCACATTAAGCTTTATTTTTCTTTCTGTATTTTTCTCTATTAATTTATTAAACAAAAGAAAAAAAATAAAAACTCTGTTGTTTTTTTTTGGTATTTTTTTATGATTCAAAACACTCTAGTATTTTTAAATTTCTGTTCCTTGTAAATCATTATTTATTATCTTCGTTTTCACCATCTTTTTTATCATCACCACCATCATCATTAGCATCGTGAAGAAAACTTTTATCATCAACTTCTTCCACTTGTAAATATCTTTCACCGTCAATATTTGTCCAATATTTATTTGAGTCTAAATTACGTTCTTCAGTTGACATTTCATTTTCAATTGCAAATACAATACGTGCTCGTTCCAAATGCCTATTTTATTGAATAGAAATTAAATATTTTCAAATAGAAAAAACAAAAGAAAAATAAATAAATAAATAATTCTACTAACCATATTTGTGTTGCACCTTCGATAACATTTCCATATGTATCACCCATCATAGCAATAAGTAAATTAAGTAAAAGTATTGTTACAACAATAATATATGAAATAAGTAATGTTACACTTATATATCTATATGATGTGTCTGTATAAGCATCAAGGTCAAAATCACCTAACATGCCTAGGAAACTTTGTTTAACACTTACAAGAAAACCACTAAAACCTAAATAGAATAATATAAAAAAAGAAATTTTTATATCATTTATATTTATTTAGGCTTTTTTTCTTGGTGTTTTTTTTACCATTATTATCAAATAAAACAAAAAATGCTTGTGAAAAACCAACAAGAAATACCATATAAATAATAAAAAATCGAAGAACATCATTAAATAACATTTCATAAATCATCACAACAAATGGACCGGTTAATCGAAAAGCCATCACAAAAAATAACATATAACCCCAACCAATAATTGCCGCTATAGCTAATACGGCTGTTTGAGCATGTAAATCAAATGCACGAAAAATATTAACGATATATATACTTAAACAAAATAAACATGCTAAACAATTTTCAAGAAGACCAGAACCCTGTTTAAATAATAAAATTAGTTTTATAGAAAGAATTTCATAAGACAAAAAAAGAAATGTTGTTTTTTTACCGTTGTTTGAAAATATTTTTTTATACCCATAGAAGTCATTTCATTAAATTCAGCTTTTCCTTTCCATATAGCTCCTGCTAATACAAAAAGACGACCAAATGTACATATGGCTTGTTGTATCCATCCTAGTGGTTCAATACTGACTACTACGGCTTCTTCACCTTCGCCTTCACTCTAAAATATATAAAACAAATGTTAATATTACTATACTATAAGTACTAGTTCTTCTACTTAATTTTCTTCAAAAACTAACGTTTTAAATATTCAAGGTTTTCATCAATAAAATTTTCGTAAAGTTTTACTCGGAGAAACAAAGAATGGTGTGCTCGAAAGTTAACTGAACGATTAAATCAATGTGTATAATAGACTAATAGAGTGGCTGAAACGAAGACTTAAATGATATTTATCGCTTTCTATGCTATGTATTGTATCCATTTTCATTAGGAAAAAAGAAGTTATGTATTGAAGATGTATTTGACAAAACAAAAATAAGTTTTTCAGTACAACGATGTTAAATAAATCTAGTAAATTGATAGGATAGTAAATTCTAAATATAAACATTTTCGATATCATACGATTTTCGAGTGCGTGTATCAACTATGAAAATTATTATTATGATTTTGATTTATTTTGCCCATTACAAAAAAATTATTTTCACTCCTCTGACAATATAACATAAATCTATAACAGTCAGAATTTATGAGTTCCACATTTCCGTCTCTCATGGAGTCATACTGACAAGTTTTGAACTATTTAATTTCCTTACTGGAATTTGTTCTAAGTAATCTGTTTCTTTTTGTATATCGCGAATTGAAATGTAAATGTAATCGAAAGTTTGATTAGTTTTCTGATCAATATTCATATCACCTATGAGCATTATAAAAATGAGGTTACTAGAAAACTTTCATGCTTATTCGTATTAATGGACGAATTTCTCTTACTCAAATAAATAAAAGAATATTGAAAGTCATTTAAACGATTGGACTTATATTTTTATGCAAACTTTGGTTTGGCTCTTTCATTTATATTTTTAAAAAAGATTTTCATCGACATAAAAGATATCCAGTGTTTGCTATCTCTTGATCTTATCAATAGACAATTGAATTAATAGCAATCTCTACTTCTATGAATATTTTCTTGCTTTAATATAAATTGAAAATGAAATAAATTAATTCGTAGACAAAAAAAAAACTTTACCGTTTCTATTCGTGATTGATCCATTATAGTTGTAATAAGAAAAATAGATAAATAAAATAATGTAATAAGAAATCGACGAAAAAAAATTCGTCTTGCAAAACGTTCCCATTTTTTATTAACTAAATCAATAAGACGTGGATGCATAATAAGTTCAACATGTGCATTTTTAACAATTATTTCAAGTGCACCAACCGGTTTCTCCTCACCCTAAAAATGAATTGAAATATTTTATATTTATAAATAAAATTCGGATTTTTTTTTTTGTTCTTTACATCTCCTTCTTCATTTTGAAATTCCAGATCAACTTGATCAAGTGGATAAAGTACACATGCAACAGGACCATAACTCCATTGAGTTATTTTACGTTCTTCAAGTAAAAATGAAAACATTTCAGCTTGACCTAAGTCAGCTGCTAATGTTAATGGTGTAAAACCATCTTTATTCAAGCGTTTCCATAATGGTATAACTGCTTTTTCATCTAATAATAAATCTTCATCATCTTCATCTTCATCATCATCGCTGGAAGCTCTTTTGTTTGATTCTTCTGTTTCTATCCAACGTTGTTTTACTTTTGTATACATTTTTGGTAAATTATGAATAACAAGTAAATGTAAAACATTATTTCCATTTGAATCAGTCTACAAATTGATATAAATAAAAATGTAATTTTTATATTTACTAAATAATAATTATTTTATTTTTGACGATTTCTCTTACATGTTTCATATATCCTATTTTATCTTATTTGAATATTTGTTTCGTATTTTTCATTTATTCTATTGTACTTTACTAGTTGATTAACTTAACAATGTAAATGTTGTGAACAAAATTAAAATTCAATTCAATTCTCGATATAATCAGTGTTTGAATGTTGTCTGAACAAAGTGTTGAATTTGAATATTGTCTATGATCGTTTCATGAGGAAAGCTCTCTAACTATTCAATAAACTTGAGAGTGGAGACCAGTGTATGATGTAGATCCAAACTAACAATGAATACCTTGACAAGAGTTCGTGCCTTTAGTTTATTACTATAGAGATACTGTACTTTTACGGAACTTTTTTACAATGAATGCTGTAGTTCAAAAAAATTCATTTTTGAGTTTCGACTTGAAATTTTGCAAAGAGACAGGCTTTAACGAGAGTAGTTTCAAATCTTTTGATTTGCTTCTATCCAGAAATAAAAACATCAAATTTACTGGTTTATTTGAATGATATAAAAGACACGGTATTACCATAGTTATACCTCAGAATAAAAACATCGACAAGATCTAAAACATTCACAAAAGAACTCTTCTCGTTAAGGCCTGTCTCTATGAAAAGTTTCAAGTTGAACCTCAAAATCGTTTTTTTTTCTGAACCACAGGATTCATTTTAAAAAAACCGTAAAAGTCTAGTATGTTCATAGCAATAAGCTAAGGATACGAACTCTTTTCATGGAGTAGATAAATATTCAATTCTTTAAATAAAATTTATTGACTAGTTAATAATCATATCCTAAAATGTTTATTACTACCGAAAAGTACATCATCTGATTGATAATTTATCGAAATTTATTGATTTGATGAAATATAATTTTTTATCTTAGTCATAATTATTGGTATTCATATTGTTTCTTGTATCAAATTAAAAAACAATCAATTTTGTATTAATCAAGTTTTTAATAATATAATAGATTGAAGTATATACTACTGTTTGACATCAATGAATTATTAAAAGATCTATTTTGAATTGAATTCTCAATACTTTTGAAATAATCTCTAACAGATAAAATAAGACAAAACTAATTATTTCAATCGGAATAATAATACAATTTCAAACGGATCGTGTTGATAAAAGAACACAATCCAATAAATTACAATATAAAATTATTTATTACTGGATTTTAAATTTTATTGATTATTTCAGAAAATATCTATAAACATCTCATCTAGAAAAATAAATTTTCTATTGAAGTTACATTGAACATGCATTGCTTTTTTCATTCGAGATAGATCGAAATTATCGATAAAGTCAAGAATGCATAGAAATACACTTAAAAATGAATGTGAAACAATAATTCTTCAAGTTGATCTTATATTTAAACGAATGATATTAATTTGGCCAAAAGAAAAAATAGCGAAAAAATCATGTCGAATAAAGTTTATTTTCGGGTACTCGACCAACGAGATGAAGATATTTTTTTGCATGTAAAAAAAGAAGTGAGAGGCGTATAAGTATACCAACAAGAGATAATAGTGTATGAAAAATATTCAAGAACAAAACTAACAACAATACAATACGTTTCTTCATGTGGATACGTGTAGATGTATGTTGTTGATGTTGGATGTTCGTGTAGAGTGTGCATGCAAATATTAGTCTGGTCTTTACATCTATCCTTATATCCACATCCTACTCTTAACGAAGTCACTTAATGACATGTGGTACATTTTCGACTTTTTTTAGGGGTATATATTTTTTCGCTATTTTTTCCTTAGACATTTTTTCTTTCGATCAAATTTATACATATCATTTAATCAACTAGTGTTGATGATATTAATACAAGCATGTTTGATATCATTAAAACAATACTATATCAAGCAATGTTTTGGACAAGTATCTCATTTTGAAATCGAAATTTTCAAACTGAGTTCATCGAAATGTGATTGACGATGAAAAAAATTTATGGACTATAGTTACTAAATAAAATGATGGTTTAATTTTGATGAAGGTGATATCAACGATAATAATGATGATCTTATTAAATGTGTCGGTTTCTTTTTTGTTTTCATAAATTAACCTATCATCAATATCAAAATCATGGTCACTTACAGTAATAGTGTTAACAAAACATGACCTGATACCTAAAATCGTAATAGATTATTGTATAGACATTGTCTTATGATAATTTAAATATTATTGTAAATACTTTGAATATAAACAATTGTTTTGCAATTGTAATTCATTTGATTGATAGAACAAATATCAATCGAAAATATTTATTATGTTTAATTATTGAAAAAGAAATTAAGAAATTATATGATTTTATTTAAACTAATTTATTAATATGATGTTCTAGAAAATATATTTGAAGCTCGACAATTTGTGTGATATTAAATATTGCTTATCGAAGTGAATTAATGTTGATAATTTAAAACCTATCATCATCTTCGAAATTTTCAAGTTGTATTCTCATAGTTGCAGAAGAATAGGAAAGTTTGTAACAAACTTGCCGATTTATTTTTAAAAATAAAATGTTTTCCGTTTGACCACGTATCATTTAAAACGGGTTCATGTTCAAACATGAATCAAATAAATTGATATAACCTATTAAATATTTTTTATAATTATTATAAAATAAAAAATATATTAATCATTCAATTGTTTGTCTTTTTTAAAGTTCTCCGGTTTATCTAAATTCTAATTTTATTCACAACATAAATAAAACTTCTGGAGCATCAAAAAACCTATAAACTACTATTAAGACAAAAGTCTTCATATATGAAATGGCAGATGATTTCACTTGAAATATTTCTTCAAATGTTCGAATACTGATTATACGAGTGCTCAGTACTCAATATAATCTTACTTTAAACTATGTTAAAGTTGGATTACATAAAACAACTCGATTGTTTACTTACAAGAGAATCGTCCAAATAAATACCCACCGTCTGAGCTTATATTGAATCTAAAATGACGTTCTGGTGAGACTAGGAAAAGCCTAGAAGCATTCGTTCCCATGGATTTTTGGAGTCGAACTATGATCATTTTACTGACTTTTTTTATACAGCTTTAGGTATATAGAGAAAAATCAAAAATCAGAATTTCGACCTGAAATTTTGCCCATAGATAGATCGAATTACTCGAAGAATACTCTCAAAGTTTCAGTCTAAAAAAAAATGTTCCGTTGTCGAGATATTAAATTTTCAAAATAAAAAGGTCGTTTGTCATAGACATAATCCAAAAATCGAGTTTACTTGAAAATTCAATATTTCGACAAGTGAATATTGTTTTCGCTCGAAACTTTCAGGATATTCTAAGGATCATTAGACTTATCAATGAGAAAAATCTCTGATCGAGATTTCGTTATTTGATTTTCCAGTAAATATCTTAAGCTGGGTCGAAAATTCAGTAAAATAATCATAACTCGACTGCAAAGATCTACGAAGACAAACTCTATTAGAATTTTGGTGTTCTCATCCAGCCGCCCTTGTAAATCTAATATGAGCTTAAATGGTGGGTATCAGTTTGTATAGTTTCCTCATTAGCAGAGATGACATCGATTCAATTCGATTCAAAATAAAAAAAACGAATCGATCTCATCTCTGTTACTTAGTCTCGTAGTATAATAACACATATCGTCTTGATTTAGTTCTGTACAGTCACATTCTATTTAAGATTTAAAAAAAATATTGAATAATTATTTTGATTACTTACTGCATCCATTGAAGCACCATGTTTAAGTAAAATTTCTGCAATATTCCATTGATTTGTACAACAAGCAAATAATAATGGTAATTCACCGTAATAACAAGGTCGTCCTCTGAAAAAAGAAAGTAAAATTTCATTATAAACTTATAAACGTAAATAAAACTTACACTTTAAAAAAATTTCCACAAGCAGCTGCTGTCAATTGTTGTTCACGATACGGAAGATTTTTTTCATCACCTAGAAGCCATTCGACCATGGTTGCATTTCGTTTAATAATTGCAATATGCAGAACAATTTCACCATAATATTCCTAGAAAAAAAACGGGAAAGAATTTTCTTTCTTCAATAAAATATAGACAAAGAAAACACTTCTGTCTTTTAAAAACTTACACTCTCATTATAGATTTGTGTTATTGTATGTGGAAAATTTGTAATCAAATATCGAGCCATATTAAGATGTGTTTCAGTTCCATATAAAAATAACATATGTATTGGACATTCACCAACAGGACCTCTTGCATTAGCATTTTTAGGATCTATTTTAACAAGACGTTCCATAGATGGCTGATCAGCTTTTCGTACAGCTTCCCAAATAGTTCCACCTTTACGTGAATTCTCTGTTTGTCGTTCAACAGCTGATCCTGTTGATGGGTCATCAACTGAACCTTTTTTTTTTCCAACATTAAATATCAAACGTGTCCATATACTTTGAACATTATTTGCAGGATCACCTTCGTCAATACTCATTGTTCCTTTATTTTTATCGATAATAAACGTTAATAATGGTCGTTGCTAAAACTAGGTATGCTGTATATTTTACTACAGGTAATGATGCGACTGATGGTTAAGGTGATGATTAATATCTATAGAGCAATTTTATTTTATTCGTTGTTTTTTTTTCTACTCATTCTCCTCCTTTACCTATAAGATTGACTGCTGTGCACATCATTACAAATATCATCACATTGATCAATCAACCGGAAATATATAACCTTGAAATAAAAAAAATGTTTCAGATGATAACTAATGTGAAGGACAATAATTAATATATGCCAGCAGTTTTAACAATTTGGTTATATACTCGATTGAAATAATTTAATAGTGACTTGAGAACAAGTCAAAGTCAATGTTTTTTCAATTTTTTTTCATATTAAAATATAAGAAGCGAAAGGAAACTATTTTCAATAATTTTAAATCATATCCAATTTCATTCATTGAAATTTTTTTTGATATTCTAATTATTATTTATATTAAATTTTCATTTTAAATGATCTATCAACTGAAAAAAAATATATAAGCTTTGCCTTTGTTCATATACTACTCGCTGGATGTAAGAAAAAAAAATCATTGGTTACTTATTGTTTTGAAAAAAGTCAAAGGAGAAAAAAACAAACGATAAACAGGTATTGTAAACAAAAAAAAAGCACTCGACTTTAACCCATATGTCATGAAATCATTCACATTTTATATACGCACATGCATAAATAACATAAATAGCAACTGAAAATAGTATCAACTGTTTATCCTCTACAAGTAGAATATCAACGTTTTTTATGTATCGTATAAGCAACAACAAGTGACGAACGAAGGAGAAAATAACTCAAAAACTAATCATAATAGAACATCCAATGATTAATTTTTTTACTTATTTACTTATTATCGAAAAATAGCCCGAGAAAAAAGAAAATAATAATAACTTCAGCTGATTGAAATCATTATCTTGACGGATTAATTCGAGAATTTAAATGTCTTACTATGAGAACTCAACAACAATAAACTATTATTTCTCAATAATATTCGTTAACAATATATTTGTGTTTGTGCAACAAAACTAGAATCGATTATTTACCTGCAGCTTTTTTCTTTACAACAAATACTATTCATTGATAAATTTCATAAATTCATTGATTTTTTGCTTTAAATAAAACAAAACTATGAATATTTTCAAATTTCACTAAACTTAAAGAGTACGAATCAATTGTGTTATCAAATCGATTAACTTCAGTCATATTTATCCGATTTTGTAATATGCCAAACTATCTCTTATTATCGCACAAATATAGTCATTTTATGAAAACTTCTCAATGATAAAAAAAAGCAGTCATTTATAAAAAAATTTTCACATGTGTATTGGATGCATATATTCATTGTCAAGAATATTTTAACGATGAAAATCATTCTAATAATGATAAATCTATGCTATTACTAAATTCTGTTCTATGATATCTCATTTCAATGACAACTGTTACAAAGTTTTTCGTTGTCAAATATTCAACATTTACTCACTTCATACAATGGTGACGACTATTTTGCTATTTTTCTTTATAGATGAAGAGAATAAATTCTCTGTTTGATTCTATTCACAGGATCTCGTTTCGAACAAACCATAGAGAATATACTTACAAGTATTTTGTCTCATTGGATGACGTTATTAGATAAGATAATTCTTTCAGCACACGATTGGAAACAATGAAGGATTCTGGATGTCTGACACTTTCTGATAGATATCAATGATGAAACAAATCTATCTGAAATAAATGTAATACTTGTAAGTAGACTTTTGTCAATAATTAGTTGTGTTGAAATTAGTCAATCAACAGATATTCTTTAATAATCTTTACGAAACGTTATCTAATTCAAAGTTAACTTTTACGAATACAGTTATTAATTATCTTGCAAATATGATTAGTTAATCAGCTATTCTTATTTAAATAAGAATCTCTCGTAACACTTGTATTTCTTCGTTTAACATTATGTCAAAATGAACCATTACTGCTGAATGTTTATATTCTTCTTGCTTATACGATACATAAAGAAGATAATATTAAAACAATGTATAATCCTGGTTGATTACTGACTTGAACTTCCTTGACAAGATTCAAACTATTTCTAAGTAGATCTACGACAGTTCGACATTAGTTCCAATCTTGAGAACTGTTTCAACAATTCTCTGAAAAGAACTGATCTATGTCATCAGTTCATTCAAAAAGAACTAGTGCTACTAAACATCTCGTTTTGATGCATTCATTAGGTCTGTATTTGCTGCATTCCAAACAATGTTTCTGAACTGTACAAATGTGCTCGAATGAAGCTAACGGAAACTTTTCAAAAAACGAACTATTCACTGGGCTCAGTTCTCAAAAAAAAAAATCGGTTCATAGAACCAAGATCTGTTGCAGGTCTATTTCTAACGACAACAAAAATAAAGCATCAAAAAACAAAACAAACAGTCGATGAACTTATTTGGTAATTTACATGAGGTATTTAATGACAATTTCTAATCTTACTAATAATCTGAAAATACTCATATATTTGTTTCAGAGCCAGAGCTTTTGAAAAAGGCAACAAAGAAGAATCCAGAGAAAAAAATGCTGCTGATGAAGGAATAGAAACAATACGTAGATATGTTATGTCTAATAATGATGAAAAACACAACTTTTAGCAACAATCAAAACAACCATTATTGCATCAAGTGAACGATTATATCAATGTCGTACAATGTTCTCATATTGTTATGACCATAAAGAATTTAGAAAACATATCAATTTCCTATTAGTCAATGCCTTTGATTGTAAATTGATCTTGACAATAAGTATAGATTAAGTAAAGACACCATTTTCTTTTTTTTTTGTTCAAACCACTATTTAATTTGTGATCAATATTAAATTTTATGCTTAATGCAGTAGAAAATTCAGAATTTATCATTATGTGTATGCCAAGTTTCTGCAAACAAAGTACATATTGTCAAACTAAAGCTGAATAAAGGACATCGTATTTCATTAGTAATGAGAGAAGGATATAGACGAGATGGTTGGTTAGGATTTATGATTGGATCAAGAGTATATGTAGATTTTGGTCGATTTGATTTTAATATAGCTTGTGAAAAGTTAATTACAGACATTAGTCAACAATGAAAACAATCTGTTCCATCGAAATTAGCCAACATGACTCAACATGAAAAACCAACTGAAATAATTTCTAAGAAACTCGAAATAGCTACAACTCATGATTATAATGTATTTTCTATGCATACGAAATGTAAACTAATGTCATGTGTTATTTGAAAATATGTAAATGAATGGGTAGAATCTGATGTATAAGATTTTCTTTTTACTGAAAATTTAAATGAATTGATGCCAATATGTAAAACTATTGATGATCTAGCACTGATACAATTATATAGAATGTGTAGATCTCATAGTCAAACATATATTCTTTTTAATGATGAATTGGAATAGACGTCTAGAAGGAAATTACCTATTACAATTTATACCCGATTTTTGAGTGCTATGAAACAATGACTGAGTGCTACTTTCCTATTACCAGTAGCACTTTACCCCGATTAGGTTCCACTCGATGATTTCTCAGTTCGGTTCTAATATTATTAATTAAAATGATCCGTAATTATATTTAATATAGAAGGAAACAACAAGAAAAATGCAAAAATGATCAACATTTATAACGCACAGACACCCTATATATTATGCAAAATTAAGTTGTTTGTTTTGACTTTTTAATAAATTTCATTTTTACTACTTTGTCGCATTGAATTGCTAATTGTGAACTTTGATAGTGAAGTACAAGTGCATTACGATAGATAGTTATGAATTGCATGTTGTTTATTATTCGATTTTCGTATTCAATATGTGTGTCTTGGCAATAATCAGTGACCCGTCATTTGATTTAAACTGGATTATCAGATGGATTCTCTTCCTCAACCAATAACAATTCACGAATGAATTCTTTAAATGATTAATCATGAAAATAAGTAAAGGCTTATAGTTTCCGTTTAATTTGATGAATCGTGACTGAACTCTGTGTTAAACATTGTCAGATATCTTATGATTTTGTAATCATTTCGAACACTGCTTCTTTTAAAGAGTTGAGTACAGTCGAACGTCATGGGATGCAATTCTAACGAAAGAATTCAGTTAAACGATAATATACATATATTGTCTAAAAATTTCATTCATTAGTTTTGAATAGAATTGAATTAAAGAAAAAAAAATCGGTCACATCTTTTAACATCTATCTCATATTTATTCTTTTATACAAATGAATATGACATATTTTCGCTTTAATAATATCAAGTTGTCATTTATCATTTATATAATTATAGATATTTCTGAAGGATTTATATGACAATGTCTATAAATCATTCTTCCGAAGGTTTCATTTAGTTTTTTTAAACATTCTATGAAATTATGATCTATCGTTTAATCACAAATGTAAATAGCGGAAAAAATTCAAAATACATCATCTACGACACCGAATTTATTATATATTATTCTTATATTCTTGTACTATTTCATTGTTCTTCTCTCTCTCCTCATTTTTTTTTATTATGCATGTTTAGGATATCGCTTGGAAGCAATTTATGAGGTAGATACAGCTAGCGAAAATTACTTAAGTACAACATTTATTGCATCCAAACAAAAATATGTGATAAACTACTTCGAGTTGAGCACGAACTATACCTTTTTTTTTTTATTTTACCTTTATGCATATGATGTATATGAAATTATAATCAGCAATGTGTTCGATTAAATCATTTTCTAAAGCATGACTATATTTCGAAGGTTATCTTTCATTTATATCATGAACACTCGATTTTACGTTGTATTTTTTTCTGTAAACATTTTCAATCTCTAATAAAAATCTCTTACAAGTAAAACACTCTTCGATCTATTTTTGTGCTTGTTTATATTCAGAAACATAATTTACGATCTGTATTTGACATTTAAGTTGATTCATTAGTTTCGCCTAAATGATTTTGTGTTTTGCGTTTTCATACGGTATTCACTACTCATCAACATAATTTGATGTATGTGAATCTAAACATTTTATTTCTAATAAAATGACCTTCATTGGTAACTCAATATAGCTACCTTAAAAACAAAATCAAATTTTGTTTTTATATTTTCATTTACTAAATATATTAGTTTTCTGTTTTCTTCTTTGGATACAATCATCCTCAAAATAGTTATTACTATTTAAGTTAACTAATAACAACCATACAAAATATTACTTCGGAACTCAATACGAAATAACTTGATATAAAGTAAGAAATTTGTATTCATATCGAATCATGTATTAGTACTTGTTTGATCTATCACATCAGAATAATTATCTTATCTATAAGTACATTTAATATATTTCAAAGGTAATAATATAATGGATCAATTTTATACGACCCATCGAAACCAACAAGAATCTTTTCCTTGGTATCATCAACCATATAGAGTAGAACCAATGAAACCTTCGTATGCATTTACTAATTCACAATATTCATCATCTCGCCAGACTAGTTTTCATAAATCTATCATAAATAAAGATCCAAAAACAATTTCTAATTCCGAATTGGCAAATTTACTTGATCACCATCCAAAGGAACTTAAAAAAATGCGGCGAAAAAACCCGCAGCAACAATTACCCATTCTTATGGATTTCTTGTTGACAGTTTGTCGTGTACCAAAATCAACATTATTATCTGTTGCACAACATAATTTTTTTTCTTCACTTCAAGCTCCATTCAGTGATTTGCTTCAACGATGGTGTCGTTCTTCTTCTTTAACGGATGACGAAATTTCTATGTTTCGTTCTATAGTTAAATTAATAAAAAGATTCAACAAAGCTACAGATGCTGTAGAATTACTTCCATCATGGTTGTTAGATTCGACCTTTCTCAATACAATCGCCAATTGTCTTACAAATATAGGCACTTCAAAAAATTTTCTCAATGATAAAAATAATCGTTTATTAAAATATTTCACACGTTTAATTGAAATATATACTTATTATCAAGAATGTTTAAACGATGAAAATGATTCTGATAAAGACACACTTGTACTCTTACTGGATCCTATTCTACAATGTCTTACTTCATCTCAATATATTAATACTTTTACAAATCTATCACAAGATAAAAAATCAATGACAAATATTGAAAAATTTTTCCTTCTCAAATGCCCATCATTTCTCATTTCATACAATGGTAACTATGCTTCTTTTTTTTGTTTTGAGGAAACAGTACTTCTGATTACCAATTTTTTTTTCAATTAGTGAGTTTTTATTAGGGTAAGCATTTCTTTTTTCTTTTTATCACCAAGAATCTCTAACTGCGAAATGATCACTAGAAAATTAGTGTTTTGATCACCAAATTTATTATAGATGAAAATAAGTGTGGGTACGGGTGTTGATGAGGTTTTCTTTTTACTCACGTCAACACTCATATCCTCAAAACAATTAGTGTATGGTCAAAATAATTAGCGAATTGAGTGTGTGTATCTATATATAAACTAATATATAGGAAAAAAAAGTTCTCAGAAATTTTCTAATCGATATATCTTTGCAGCTACTTAAGAATAATTTCTACAAATGAATAGTTATTTTACAAGAATATTTATTATGCAAAATATAAAGTTCTAGCTGAAGAAATAAGAGAGATATAAATGTGAGAATACCATTAAACGGTTTTGTATACATACACAAGATAGAAAACAATAAAAAATAAAAACGGAAAGACTGAACACTAATGAATTCTATGTGACAAACTTGTTAAGTGCCTGTGAGATAGTGATACTCACTTTGTTTGGCTTCTTCGCAGAAAAAATTGTTCCGCTCACACACACAAATATACAAGACGAAAGAAATTTGTTTCAACTTCTGATTATTCAACATTAAAGAATTGTGTTTTTTTTGACGATCAAAAATCGCATGTGACAAAATTCCTTTGTTGACTCTCCTTTACTTCTTGAGCTAGAACTTTTATTTTTATACAATAAGTACATTTTTAAATGCTCTTTAAAATGACAATTTATTTGTTGAAATTGTGCTAGTAGTTTCAAAGATATATCGATAGAAAATTTCTGAGAACTTTTTTCCATACCTTACATATCCACTTAAAAATATGATTCTTCTTCAGATCGACAACACCTTATATATTAATTGGTCTAGCTAGCAGAGCACATCAAAGTGTGTAGACACCACGATGTCACTGATCTGGAGAAATATCAAAAATATTGTTTCCTAGATTAATATCGAAATATATATAGATATATTGTTTGCTCTGTACACTATACTTTGGTTCTTATCCAGCCCAACGATATACTTAACTAATTTGCCTGATTGGCAATGAGGAACACCACCGAGTGTGAGGTTGAGGTTGTCATCAACTTGGAACAACACCTATACTTTATTGATAAATAGTAATGCCAAATGAATACTAAAAAAGAAAGTTGGTGATCAGAAATATTGTCATCCATTTTCTCTATACATGAAACGAATAGTTTTATGTTTGATTCTATTCATAGGATCTCGTCTCGAACAAATTATGGAAAAATTACTTTCAACTATGCTACCTCAATATGCAGGATTATTAGATAAGGTTGTTCCTTCAGCACACAACTGGAAACGATCAATGATTCGATCTGTACAATATTTATTAAAAACTATCAATCATGGAGCAAATCAATTTCAAATAAATGCAAAACTTGTTAAGAAACATTTACCATTAATTGATCATGTGTTAACATTACTCGATGAACCAATATTTTATAATAATCTACAAGAAACATTATCGAATCCGGAAACAGTTTTTGTGGATACAGCTAGTAGTTTTCTTGTAGACATGACAAGTGAACCAACTATACTTGCTGAAATAAACCGCTCGCATATGACACCTGCATTTCTTCGTTTAACATCATGTGAATATGAACCATTAGTACGCAATGTTCACACTCTTATTGCTTATACGACACGTGAAGAAGATATCAAAGAAATGCGTAATCCTGGTCAACTACTTGAAACTATTATGAAATCACTCAAAACTACATTAGATCAACCAATGGAGGATAGAAGTGATCAAGAGAAATTATTTGAAACATTAAAAGGTAATCAGTTTTATACATATCTTTTTCATACAAACTTTCATATGGCATATAATTACGTACAATGTCGTTAGATATAATGATAAACTATTCGTTTATTAACCTAGATTCTACTCGTAAAATCATTTAGTAAAGGTTATCCTTCTTATCTTATTGCCAATTTTGAATTATTCTTGACGCAAAAATAAAATACATCTCGATATTTTTTTGAATATCCGAACAACGAAAGTAGCTGGAAAACTACGGTTTTCACTATTCGAAAGAGAAATGTGAAAGAACTGAAACTTTATTGAATTATGTGGACTATGTGTTATTGGTCAAGTTGGTGAGTTTTTGCTGTGGGCTTTGACTAGAAATTCTTGAAAAACCTTTCTCAATTAACAATGAGTTCCAGTTTAGGGGATCAATAGCAAAGATATTTCTCTCTCGATCTATGTAGTGTCAGTCCTTCTAGCTTATTCCATTCAGAAGTTATAAGAGTTTTACTGAAAGCCTTGAAATCAGACAACTGATAACTGGTAATTCTAAGCTTTATTGAGTTTGGTATATTCGTCTACGTTGAGTTCAATAGTGGTATTTGCTTTCAGTTTTGAACCGATCTGACATTGGAAAGACAAGATCTCGAAAATACTTCCTCTAGCGCGAAAAACTTTCTATTGACTGAATTACAAAAATCATGAGCTAGCAACTTACAATCATATTGAAACCAAAAATAAATATCATCATTGAACTCAATGTAGACGAATACATCAAACTTAATACAATTTACAGTGACCAATGGTCAGTTGACCGATTTCAAAGCTTCCAGTAAAACTCTAATAACTCTTGAATAGAATAAGCTGGAAAAATCGACGTTACCTAAATCGACAGAGAAATACCTTTGCTATCGATTCCATAAAATGGAACTCATTGTTAGTTGAGAAAGGTTTTTCAAGAACTTCTAGCCAACTGAATGCAAAGACTACATACATATAGTAGATACAACTATTTCATACGAAATATTCTTTTCTTATATTAAATTTTAATCACAAAAAATTCATAATAATAAATAGATCAATTTTTTTGCTTGATAGATATAAAGCTGATATTGTTTTTGTTTTTCATCATTCAAACTATAATATCAAATCGAATAGTGTCATTTAGGTCTTGTTCAACATGATCAGATGAAAGATGAAATTATAAAACAAAATGCAATTCCATTTCTACTCGAATGTACTAACAAGTTAGATGATAAAGCACAAATATTAGCATTTGAAATTTTATGGTCTTTGACATTTCGTGAAGAAGGTGCACTTGCTCTACGTTCCAATAGAAATTTTCTTAATAAGATTCAAACCATTTCTAAAGATAGTAACAGTGAACCATTGAAAAAAGCAGTTGATGGGCTTGTTTGGAAACTTGTGCGAGGTATTTCATACAAAATTTTAATCTAGACATATCAATCAAAATATCTTTATATTTATATATATATATCGCAGAACCAGAAAGTTTGGAGAGACTGGCAAAACGACAAGCAGAAGAACAAAATGCTGCTAACAATATGGTGGAAACAATAACTGAAGTAATCATAGATAGTACTGGTCAAAAACAACTTGTAACAAGAAGAGTATCATCTGTAGCTCCTGATGAACGAATATTTCAATATGATATGATGATTTCATATTGTCATGCTGATAAAGACTTAATTTATAAAATAAATCAATATCTTGTTGATCAAGGTTTTAAAATATGGATTGATTTGAATAATATGTATGGACCAGGTAAAATAATTTCAATCATTTTAAAACGAATTTCATTTTATATTAATTTTAAGCTATGAATGCTATGGCTGATGCGGTTGAAAATTCGGAATTCGTCATTATGTGTATGTCGGATTCATATAAACGAAGTACATATTGTCAAGCTGAAGCTGAATATGCATTTAATTGTAAACGACGACTTCTTCCATTAATTGTACGTGAAGGATATAGACCAGATGGTTGGTTAGGATTTATGATTGGATCAAGAATATATGTAGATTTTGGTCGATTTGATTTTAATACAGCTTGTGAAAAGTTAATGACAGAAATTAAGCATCAACGAAAACAACCTCTTCCATCGAAACCAGTCACCATAAGTCAGCAAGAAAAACCAACTGAAATAATTTCTAATAAACTCGAAATAGTTACAACAACTCATGATCATAATGCACTTTCTATGTATACGGATAGAAAATCAACGTCAAATTTTATTAGAAAATATGTAAATGAATGGGAAGAATCTGATGTATTAGATTTTCTTTTTACTGAACATTTAAATGAATTGATGCCAATATGTAAAACAATGGATGGTCAAGCACTAATACAATTATATGGAATGTGTAAATCTCAAAGTGGTCAAACATTTATTCTTCTTAATGATGAATTGAAATCGACATATAACACGAAATTATCTATTACAGTTTATACTCGATTTCTAAGTGCTATGGAACAAAAATTAGCTGCATCTCCGTTAACACCATATCTAATACTATCAGAATTGCCTGGAAACACAGGTACTACTACTTCACAGGAATATATTTCATATGCTCCTAGAACATCAATGATAAATCAAGCTTCATTACAGTATCAATCATATGCTGATCAACCATATGATCTTACATTTACTTCTAATACTTCAAGTCAGCAACTATTAAGAGCACTGGAATATCATGATCCGAACTTGAAGAAACTGATATCTTTTTGAACATGACACTCATGAGGAAACTTCTTCAGATGTCAAATCACTTTTCGAGTGAGATGATGTTATTCGATGAATACTAGTGAGTAATAGAAAAGTCTAGAAAAATTTGATTTTCCGAACCTTTTTTCTTGAGATATAGGTTATTTGAAAATAAGATATTTTTTTATTTAAGTGACTACAATATCTATTATCTGTCGTTGTTTAGAAATGAATAAATAGTGTAGAGACGTTGATATATATATAGACACATGTATACAACGACATCATGCGACGTGTCTTGAAGATCAGGCAAGAAACTTTTTTTCTTTCCTGTTAAAAGAATCTTGTCTGAGTTTCAGGATTAAAAAGAATCTTGACTAATCGATCAAGAAAAACAAGAATCTGGATAGAATGAATCCAAGAAGCTTGATTAGTGTTGACGTTTTGAAAATATTTTTACTTTTTCAAACTGCTATATATGTAAAAGCATAGGAATACAAACCGGTTCGACCATGATCGAACAATTTATTGTACTTGAGAACAGATCATAGAAGTGGAAAGCGATATTGTTTATCTAAGAGAATTTATTTTTGATAGAAATTCATCTACAGATGATAAGAAACTATATGATGAAGTAATTGAATACATGGAGAGGAAAATAAAGTATGAAAAAAGGTGAAGATGTATTATCGTGATGGAAAAAATATTCATGTCTGTATCCATAATTATGACATTTGATAGCAACACTGCGTTTCATTCCAGCGTTATCAGCAACAAGCAAATATACAGTAAGCGAAATCGATCGGATTTTACAAGCAGAAAAACACCAAGTGAATTCTGAATCCTGAATCAGTTGATTCACTTGCTTTTTTTTGTAGGATTTGAGATGATCTCATTTTTTTGTTGCTGTTAATGGAAGAAACTACTAAACAGTATGCTTTTCCATATAAAGTAAAAGTTCGAAAACTGTACTATGACTGTGAAAGTGTCTGCCTGATGTCGATTAGCTTCGGTCTGGGTTCAGGTGCGAAAAAACGTACGTGTACAGAAAACTATTCTCATGTGTAGAAGTAAATTTTATTCATATATTTACGTATCGAGAAAGGATATACTAGGAAAGCTAAAATTTACACAATCAGATAACCTCATTAAGAATCTTGTTCATGCAAAGTTTAAAGACGAAACTTGAAAGCCAATTTTTCAAATGACTTGAGCATGAGCATAGCTTTTTAGTAAGTACCCAGTAAAATTTCGATTTCTCAGGAACGAAGGCTCAAAAAAAGTAACCCATTCTGGACTTATCTATTACTGACGATTATTCATCAAATAAAGGTCACCTCGATCGAAAAGCGGCTTGACATTTGGAAAGTTTCTCTCATCAGTCTAATTTTAAAAGAAAATTTTTTCTTTAATATCATATTATAAAATAAACTGGTGATTATCTATGTGTTGTCTTTATGAACTATCGTCTTTTTCAATTGTCAAAGTGTTTTAATAATATAGAGTTTTTATTGTGATTTAGTTTTATCTTCAAGTTTCTGAAAAATAAAATAAAATAAAATAAAATAAATTTGATCACTGTGCAAAAATCAATATGAAATATATCGTCAATTTTGCTTGGTTGTCAACGAACTATTCACAAAAAATGTTGCATTTTATTGTGATATTTTTTCGATGTATTAAACTGCTAACTATACTATCTAATATGTTTTATTAATAATAGAAAAGTTATGTTTGGTATGCAGCGTTGTCTCTTTATTATTTTCTTTTTCTTTTTACTCAAACACATGTGTGACACTGTCATTATCATAAATGTCATCCTATTAATTCGAATTTTATGAGAAAAAACAATACATCTAGTTTCTGATTGATATCTCCTACTACTAATCAGAATAAAAATATCCAAATTGCATCTCTCTGAGAATCATTGCTTTTCTTCAGTGATTGATATGACATGTGTTATACTACACAAAAGTCACAATTTTTCTATTTTGTTTTTGTTGACGTCAAATGAATAAAAACATCCCGCACGTAGGTGATTGTTCACATAGTCGCTTTCTTCTTTATATACAATTCGTTTCGCTTCGAAGAGTCTCTTTTGTCATGTTGTCGTTCTTATTTTTTTTCTTATTCATAAGCATATAAATGATTAAAAAAAAACAACGCCTGCATGAGACAAAAACGACCCACTACAATCAGTTTATTGCTCGTTAGAAATGTCCTTGAATACATCAAATAGTTATCATTCATACCCATTATATACAAATCAACCGCCATGGCGTTTTTCCTATTATTCAAATCCACCGCCATCATATAAAGTATCAACATCGTTGATCATTTCAAATAAACAGATTCCATCATATAAAGTATCAACATCGTTGAT